AGATTTTAGTGCCCAAATTCTTAAGGAAAGTACGGAGTGCTCCAATTCTCTATGTATTACTTTATTAAGCATCTCAGGGAAAAGCCTTAGAAAAGAGGTACCACAGAATAACTGATTATAAGATACAACAAGTACAGTGTGACTTCAGTTCAGACGCAAGCATATCTGATTTTCATTGTCTTCGCTTTACGCCAGGTTGTTGAGAAATTGTGGGAAATCGCTAATTCTATTTGCATGTGTTTGTATATCTTGAGAAATTCGATGACCGCATCCAACGTAAAAAGCTGTTTGTTCAATGACCAGTTGCTAAGAGCGATCAAGTTACTACATATGGATATCGGGTGCTGCTTAAAAATAAATGACGTTAAGTTGGGACCTTTCAGCGTTTGCACTGCTTTGAGTCAAGACGGCTTTCTGTCTTCACTCCTGTTTGTGCTGTACATTGGTAGAACGGCATCTATCTCAGCCAGAGCGGCGTATGTGTGTCAATGTAGGACATGTGGAGACGATATAGTTATTATTTGTAGACTGCCTAGTTCTGTTTGAATCTTGTGGAACTTCTTTCCAGCGCTTTCTTCAAAATTACAAAGTTGAATGAACGTGCCCGGCATGGAACGACTGTGTCTAAATCCAAGTGCCTTGTGCTTTTGCTTTCTTCTGTCCGTTAAATTCCGCTGATAAACGGAGAAGCAGTGGAGCAGGTGGAGAAGTTTAGAAACCTCAGAAATTGCATTTACTGCCATGGAAATTATAAAGAAGACACCAAAACTTGTGAATTTGAATGGCTAGCAACCTCGTGATTAGCCGAAACTTTGTGACTGAAATGAAACAACGTCTTAAAACTAGGCCTTCTGTATTCAATTCGATCTACATCTTGATGCTTAATTACGCTACGAGTCGTAAGTGATGATTGCAAGGCTTCGATCCCTCATGCAGTTGACTGAAGTGGGTTTTCCGTGGCTAATCGCGGGTTTCAAGCATCTCGAGAGAGTCCCATATCGAGTTCAGTTAATCCGGAGCGCCTTGGTGTACAATCGTTGCTTCATCAAACTGCGAAGCCACAGTTACGACTGTCCATGCACATAGTGCGAATGTTTTTAAAATGAAGGGCGGAACGGATATCACCTGCTCAAACGACAGGCCGTTGATCCTTGGAATGTGTTGGAAGGACCTGTTAAAAGTGCATAGAAAGACTGCTCCAAATAGGGGATATATCCTGACACTTATGTCAAATGCTAACAGGA